ATATTTCCAAGGCTTCTAATTTGAAGTTGATGATTCCTTATGGTTCTCATATTCATAAATTTATCTAAACCTCTTTGTTTTTAGTTTAGTTCATACCAAATTTTTGGTAATGAATTTGCTATATTCCTACTTTTATCCTTCAATACTATTTAGTCTTTTATATATATCCTTGAACAACTTTGTTTTTTCTTTTGAAGGACTTTTCATTTTTTTATGAACAGGAAGTTATCTTTTAGTTTCATTACCTCTCTCATTTGAGAAGCTGTACATTTCTTGCCAGGTTAAATGTGAGTGCTGTGGACTATTGTTAGGCAACTTTGTCGAAAGTTTTCTCAGCCAAATGGGAAAGTCTCTCCTGGGACCCAGTTTTATAGTTTTCTTTCCCCATTTAGTGTGAAGATCTCAAAAGCAAACTTCAGAACTTTTTTTATTTTTTTAAAACAGCTCTGCTTGAGCAGAGTCTTTTTTTTTTTTTTGAGTCTTACTGGATGATGCAGCTCAAACGCGATAGTTTTTGAAGATGCTTTAAGGCTGTCAAGCCGTCTCCCAACTTTTGACTTCAAAATGTTACAGCTAGTCTCAGAAAGTAGTTTGGAATAGTGCCTGAAAAAGACTAACTTTACTAGACAAAGTGTAAAGAATAGAGTAGGGACAAATTTAAAAATGGGAGAAAGTCCATGATTTTGTTCTCTAATTTCAATAAACTGAGAGGAATGCATCATGAAGCCCTGTTATGTCCACTCTCTTGGTGTTGGCCATCTTGCTCTTGCAGCTTCATGAAAACAGAGGGCAGGACCTAGAGGAGATTGGTGCTACCTGCTAGACCTGGAGCGGGACCCTGCTCTGCATTTCCAGTTGTGCCTAGTAGACCTTTCAGGTTTTCTGAACAATCTCCTAGGAAGTGTCATGATAGGTTGTAAAAATAAACAAGTTGTCCCTAAAACAGTCAAGCAAAGAACTTGTAACAACTCTGACCAGTAGGATTTTTGAGGTGTTAAGTCCTCTGATTATTAAGCTCTCTGCCCCATTGATTCTTATACCCATCCTCACATCTTAGAAGATTGGAAAGTAATATTATACCCATTTTTATATGAGGAAATTAAGGCTCATGGGGGTTAATCAATCAGTTGGCCAAGGATGTACAAGCAATTGATAGAGCCAGAATTTAAACTCAGATCATACTCACTTCAAACCA